GAGAATGTCATTCTAAGTGAAGTAAGCCAGAAGGAGAAAGAAAAATACCATATGAGATCGCTCATATGCAGAATATAAAAAATTAAATAAATAAATAAATAAATAAATAAATAAATAAATAAATGCAAAATAGAAACAGACTTGTAGACATAGAATACAAACTTGTGTTTGCCAAGGGAGTAGGGGATGGGAAGGGACAGACTGGGATTTCAAAACGTAGACTAGATAAACAAGATTATACTGTATAGCACAGGGAAATACATACAAGATCTTATGGTAGCTCACAGCAAAAAAAAAAGTGACAATATATGTATGTTCATGTATAACTGAAAAATTGTGCTCTACACTGGAATTTGACACAACATAAAATGACTATAACTCAATAAAAAATGTTAAAAATAAAAAAATTAAAAATGATAAATAAAAGTGGTCAAACCAAGTGATCAAAACTGTATCACCCAAAATGGGACCAACTGATATTATTTGTTTCCTTATATGACATACTGAGGACATAACAATTCCTATGTAGTATTCCTGAATCCACCCCCCACACACACACACACACACAATTAATCTGAATTTAATCATGAGAAAACAATAAATCCAAATTAAGGGATATTCTACAATACAACTGGCTAGGATTCTTCAAGAATACCAATGTTATGAAAGACTAATGAAAGGCTATGGGATTGTTATTTATTAAATGAGATGAAAGAAACATGTCATCTAACATGTGATGCAACATGTAATACTTGATTGGACCCTGGATATCTCTCTTGTGCGCTTACTCTCTTGCTCTTGCTCTTGCTCTTTCTCTCTCTCTTGCACACACATACACACACACATACACAGAGAGAGAGCTGTAAGGAATATTACCAGGACAATTGAGAAAATTTGAATATGAATTACATATTAGATAATAAATTGTATAAATGTTAAATTTCATGTGTGATAATTTTATTGTTATAAAATAGGAGAATATCCTCATTCTTAAGAGTCACATGCTGATGTATTTAGGAATGCAGTATTTCCCACATCTATAACATAGTTATTTAGTTTGCCATCTTGAACTAGAAGCCTCAGTCATTAGCTGAAATAAAAGGATAAAACAATACTTTTAATAAGATTGGCTTAGAAGTGATATGCAAGATGGAATGCAGGGAGCTCATTTAAGAGCTTGCTATAGTATAATAGAAGCAATCGGAGCTGAATCTCAATCTATGACCAGTGTTTTACTTGGCAGAGAAGTAGGAGAAGAGCAACATAGGCAGAAGAGTCAGCGTTACACAGGCAAGGGGAGCAGGGAGCTTGTTTGGGGATTAAGTTGTAGTCTAATGTAGCAGGAGCCAAAGTCTGGTAAGGGGCAGAATGATGGGAGGTAAAACTAGAAAAATAGATTGCAGCCAGATTTTGGAGAGCTTTGAATGCCAGGCTAAGATATGGGCTTGATTCTGTAGCCAATATGTGCCACAGAGTATTTTTTTATATATATATATATAAACATTTTTTA